TGCAGGTGGGTTTTTAGTTTTAGTTTTTAGTCCTGGCTGTAAGAAGCACATGCTGGTTGATAAGGGAAAGAATAACGGGTGACTCTGCAGTTGTAAATCTAGTACTACCTAAAGATTTGTCTGCTGCTCTATGTTTGGCCTTCATAATCTGATTGGGGCAGTGCAATCACAGTTAATGAGCCAACTCATTTTGTACAAGGAATGAGACTCTTCCTTTTATGATGTTTATTGCCACCAGTAGGGTACTTCTCACACCAATTCATCTGAAGTTGTTATCAGTATGTTGGACCTACTGGGCTCTCAATTTCTGGTATTGTGGTGACTGAGCGGTAAATGTCATAAAGGTTCAAGCTGCCAAGGCACTAGGTTCATTTCTGCTGGGAATTGTCAAACTCCATCATGGCACTTGGGATGCTATGGCTTGAATAGGTTAAGTTAATCAAACAAGCTGTGCAACCAAAAGAGGGGAGTCAAAGAAGTTGTAAATATCAGTGACTTTGTAGGTAAAAAAAAAAAAAAAATACTCCTTGAAAAACGTGGTGCAAAAATATATTTTATATTTATTTCTTTGACTCAATCCCCTCTATCCTCTATCCTCATTTATTCCTGTGGCAAACCCAGACTGCTTATGCACTCAGTTCTGTGATGGGAATGTTGTGTTAACTGTAAACAGAACTGGACTTCTGAAAAATACTGCAGGTAAAATGTACCAATTTATGAGAAGGATTTGGAAAAAAAAAGTAATTAGTTTAATCTTTTCTCTTTTTTTCTTTTTTTTTGCCAATTTAAGGAACTTTAGTTTTTTTTTTTTTTTATTTCAAAAAATATTCTCTTCCACTGGGCTTATTTTTTTTGTAAAAAGTGTTGTAGTTACATCATAAGGAAAAGGGAGCGTACAAGCAGAGGAGTATCTGGAATTTCCTGATCACAGCTAGACTAAGTGTTGTTTTTCTCTTTAAATTACTTTCAGAGATTATTTTGGAAAAGAAAAAAAAAAAAAAGTAGAATCTGGCATGTCCCCATCTGGCATTTCTCCCCCAAAATGTCTCATGAATTGATTTTTTTTTTCCATTAAAAAAAAAAAAAAAAAAAGAAAACGATAAAACTTGTGAAATGATGCTATCACTATTATTTAGTGACTTTGCACATGCAAAATTTGTGGAATTGGAGCCAGCACCTTGGATTTTCCCAGACCTTATGAGAAAGTCGTATAGAAAGTCCTGATACCCTCAGGCAACTGAAGGGCAATGAGGAGACGGGCCATCACATGCTGCTTTCAAGACAATGCTGATGAGCAGACTCTTCTCCTGTGGTAAATAGCAGTAATTTGAGACAACTTGTTTCTCTGCAAGGAAGAATACTAAATTGCATTGCATCTACTAAAGTGGTCATATTTCTGCACTCTGTCATTTACCACAGAGCAGATGATATGAGGCACCACGCTCTCTGGTAGGAAGCACTATTTTCCCATAGATAAATGTAGGGCAACCCTTGCATTTTAAATCCCTTGAGGAGAGACTCTGAGAGGCATGGCAAACTTTTGGCAGTCTGATACAGTTTTTCAGTGCATCCATATGGAGCAGACACTTGACATTTCCAAGATGCATTTCAAGGACACCGTAAATCACTTCAGGAGCTCAAGTGTTATAAATTAATGCTGGGATTTGGCCATTGCCCTATAGCCACTTTTATTCATACAAACTAGGGCTTTGGCCTGTTGGTGGTAGAAAACCAGCAGGAAGAGCTTGTTATGATATTTTAAGATAGTTATAATAGTCTTCCTAGTCCTGCTTGGAAAATAAGAGTGAGCAGTTGTTGAGTGAAATTAGATTTTTTACACCCGCTCTAAAAGCAATTTCACACAAAACTTGTCTTTTAATTAAGAAAGAAGCATTTAGCTACTACCAAAATATTTTTTTTAATTGCATTTCTCAGTTTATTGCATTGCTTATTTTTAGTCAAAAATTAGAGGGATAAAATAGGGTTAAGCTTATTGAAGTACTAAAAATAAATGCAGATTGCGAAACCTGAAGGGACCCGTTTCAGTTATTGCCAATGAGAGCATTTTTAAAATACTCATTCACAAGCTCCCTTTCCTGTCTTTCAAACAGCTCTACTAAAAAATACTGCTTTATGGAGCCCATTCATCGCTTACTGTATAAAGACACAGGTCTTACAGGTGATTCCTTGATATATTAATACAAAAAACTCACTTCAGCTGCTTTCACTCCAGTGATTTCATGTAGAAGACTTCTGCTGGTCATTAAAAGGCCTTGATCTCAGAAGATAGGTAAATAGGTAGGGTTGAAAGAAGCCTCCTGGGTCATCGTGAATTTTGTCTCTGTGTGAGAAATGTGTCATAAAATCATACTAAGTTATATCTAAAAGCTGCTTAGCTCTGCTGCCTTCACTACGCCTATTGAAAGCGTGTATTTTAGCTTGAAATTTAAGATTTTTTTTTCCAAATTCCAAGGCTGCACTTATTTACCACCATCTGCTTTAGTGCAGCCATGCTCCTTAATTTAAGAAATTAGTGATCACACTGTCTTAGAGTTTTTATTTGGTTCCAAATTTTACCGTAATCACAAATTCATCATCTTTCAAGAGTCAAAATTGAGATATTGAGATTATCTCACTGATTTGGGATCAGTGGAATCCCTTCATGCCAAGGCCCAAGGAAAAATAGAAAGTCAGCTCCCTCCAGTAGGTTTTTCTGCCCGTCTTCTAGGGTTTACAAGTGACTTTAGATAATTTTAAATAGGAAGTTCACCTATTCTAGGCCTGATATTCAGCTATTAGAGGCACAGGTGGATGGGATCTACCACTGGTGTTGCCCCACTGGTTCCTGTGGAATACACAGAAGCAATAAATATGTCTTGGCAAATCTGTTTAATTTTGTATCATGCAGCTGTGGTTAACCATAGAAACAAGCTGTTATCATCAACTTGTCACTATAGGTGACAAATCATTCCAGCTGAAACATCCTGTCCATGCTAAATGACAAATTGTGCTTTATGCCATATTAACCATTTTGGATTCTCTGCCTTGTCATATCCACAGAGCGAGGACTGCAACTGCCAATTATATAGCACTGTTCTAGTATACAAAAATAGAGAGCAAGCACTCCCCGGACCTGCAGAGCTAATCTAGACTGCAGATCTGCCTCTTTTCAGCTTTTCCTACATCTGTTTTTCAGTTCTGCAGAACTAAAAACTTGAAGTGTTTTCATTTTATGTAGAAAATATAAAATGTCCTTCCATTACTACTCTGGTAAAATATGTAGAATGACCAAGCAATGATTTGTGGGCCAATCTCAGAACCTGCCTGAGAAGATGTAAGACCCAGCCCAGGAGTTTAGGACAGATATACTTTTTAGCCGTGAATATGACATCAATGGACAGAGAATTGGTAGTAGAACTGGTAGTAGGGTTTTCCTTGGAAGTTTCCCGAGGATCTGACAATTATCTGGTGACAGGTTGAACTTCATCCACCATGTTACATTTGCAATTGTTGCTAAAACTGATCTGATCCATTATCCTCTACTTGTACTGAAATCACTTTCCTAGGACACCTTACTATAAATGAAATATTAGCAAAAAAAAAAAAAAAAAAACTCTTCAGGGTTTTAACATAGGTATGTGCTTGTGTGTGGGTGCACATTTCTGAGAAACAGCCCAGCAGCTCTCTTAGGCTCTGTAGAAAATGTGATATTATTTCTCAAACAGAGGTTTCATTGTTAGTTTGTTTTGTTTAAGTTGAATTATCACACCTTCATTTCTGTATACCTCACAAAAGGGCCAGTTTGTACTGCATTCTTCCGTTCAGAAACAACAACAATAAAAAAAGAAAAACCAAATTATGTAAAACTTCTCTAACAAGTCTTAATCTAAGATGTAATATTATTAGCTGAAGTATTTCCATTAATCTTATTTAGTGTTAGAGAAATCTTGTAAATTTATTTCCAAATTTCTGCCAAAAGCTGAATTCCTCCTGGCCATTTTAATATACTCTGTGAGATAATAAAATCTACATAAGCACACGAAGTTCTAAACACATTCTCTAAATGGGGTCAGAAACTGTTGGCCGTGCATCTCCTAGGGTACAGATTGCTCAAGTTGTCTAAGAATTCCGTTTGAAACACAAACTCATAATTGCAGGTTTATACCTTAGGTGTGTTGCTTTCTGAGCATAACTCTGGAGTCAAGTTAAAACTTGTCTTTGATGGACATGAGGGGTTCTCCCCTCTCCAGCTGCACTCTGGAGCTGTTAATCTTTCTTATCTAGTCTCATTTTGGTTCTCAATGGTCCCTCCAGCTTTCCCCAGCTCTAGACTTGGCAATCCAGGGTGAGTTTCATCTCCCTTAATTTTAGACACTGGTGCTCAGTCCCAATTTGTGCCATTTGTGCATCTCCCTGGCTGTTTGGAAATGTTGTGAGTAGAGTTTAGGCTGTGATTCATCTGATTTGTTTAGTTGCAGGCAGCTACTAGCCAGTGAGATGAATCGCACTCCATTAACTTGCTCTCTCTTGACCGCAGTAGAGTCTGAACTGAAATACTCACATCTGGGGAATGTCAACAACTTGCACTTATTCAGATGAATCTTATCTCTGAGCTGTAATTCAGACCAATTCAGATACAATCTGCAATGTCTCTTCTGTAATTTAACTCCAGTCCAGTGAAATTCCCATTCTTGAACTGATTTACTTGAATTCTCTATTAGTCTTCTCATTGATTTCAGTGGGAGTAGGATGAATTCAAGCCCCTGTCCTCTCCATTGGCACATTAAGAGCTGTCAGTCACACTGAGCCTGACTGACAGGTCAGGCTTCCTTATTCATCAAAATATGGGTATCTTTCCTATTTCCCTGCAGCATGACTAACTGCAAACAAGAATCTGCTGTCACTTCATGACCATGAGTAAACTGCTGAATTGCTGTTGGTATAAAGTCTTTGTGTGTGGTCTGTACCCTGTAATTGTCTTCTATTATCTTAATTTGCAGACAGTATTGAAGCCAACATTGAGACTGCATCTTCTAATGTAGAATCAGCCAATGAGCAGTTGGCAAAAGCGAGCCAGCATCAAGTAAGTGGGTCTGAAAAAAAAAGCCCTACGGACACATTCAGTAATAGAATTTAAAATAATGAGAATTCTTGGTGGCTGTGAATCATGTAGCCCAAGATCTGTGTCGGGTTTGTGTTACCTGGAATGATGATAAAGCATAGCCTAAGTAAGAGCTAAACTCTTTATATATAAATATATTTATACACACACATGCACACATCTATATATATGATTACTGTAACATTGGCAATTTGCATTAGAGTAGTCATTAAGAAATCTATACACTGAAGAGACATTTCCCAGTAGGAAATTTAACAATTAGCTAGTGTTGTTCTTGAAAAGATATCATAAGAAGTGCATCATTTAAGTGTATGTGTTCTTACTGGAGTGTGCCTCGATAGCAGCCTTCTATAGTCAAAAGCAAACAAGTTGCCAGAAGAAAAGATGTAACTGGTGAATAATGGCTATGGAAATAGTATTTAGCACTTTTTAAAGGCAATTTGAAGATTACTTTCTTTTTCTTTTTCTTCGTTGAAGTAAGAGTAAAGTACACACACAAAGAAAAGCATTAATCTTGTTTGAAAATAGCTTGACGAGAAAGAACTCTTTGATGGTTGTAGTTAGTACTTTCTAGGGATGAAAGTAAGAGGAAAAAAGAAAAGAAAAGCAAAGAAAAACTTATCACTTGCAGTAGATTCACATAACAAAAGCTACTACAATTTCTTTTTCCTTTTTTTATTTTTTTTCCTCAATCATAAATCTGTTGGTTTAATCTGAAGGTGAGTTTCATGTATCTGATGTCTTCTAATGACAGACTGCAACTGAAGTCCATGTGAAGACCTAATAACTCCCCTTCGGTCTTTGGGCATGGTGAACACTGAACTTTCTTCATACTGGAAGAGTAAAGGTCATACATATTGTACTCCACTGTACTCATGTGAACTCTTAAGATTATTTACAGCTCATTTTCTGGTGAAATGTGCTTTGCAAACTGTGACCAGTGAGAGCAACTTCCACAGAACATTAATATTACAGAACCAAGTTATGGTCTTTGGTTGTGTTTTGGTTCTCAGAGTATACGTTTTCAAGGTAATGGGTGTCATCCTGCATTTGCCTTGAAAATAACCTGTTGCATTGTTACAGCAGGAAGTCTAAAATGAGACAAGGATAAAGTTAGTGCTTGGCAGTAGAGCAGATCTCAGGGCTGTAAATGAATTAATGGCAATTTCAGCTAAGACAACTAAAGAATAGTCAGGCAGAAAATGAGTGCAGCATAGTGTAATGCGGCTGTTTTCTGCAGCCAGCAGGAATTGCTTGAAATAACCTGCCCAGTCGTGAGGTTCTTTACTCCTCCATACATTGACCAAGATGAAGATTTTTTTGCCCACTGCTGTGGGCAAAAAAAAAAAAAAAAACTTTGTGTCCTGCTTTGTACTTATGAGAAAACACCTCAGTTTCTCCCATGTGCATGAAACAAGACTGTATAGACAATATTGCTTAAGTAAATTTAACTAATATATATATATATATATATATATATATGTAAAATCCAGGTCTGCTGCAGAGGGCAGGTAGCTCTGCTGTACACTGCTGGAGGAGGATCACTCTTGTTTGTCACCCTGCTTGCTCTCTGTCAGCTCTTCCTTGGGTTTCCCTGAGATAAAGACAGAAAAATGGGGTGAGATGGTGTGATTTTGTCTGCTGGCCTGAATTTTGTGCAACATCACAACACCATGACACTTGCTTGACTAAACCCAAAAGGATGGTGTCTCCATAATGTGACAAGGGACTTGGTCAGATTTATTATTTTACTATTTCTCGCTTTTTATGCATATATATTGGTAAATATATATGTGTGTATCTATATACATACATACGCACTCACATATATAGCATTTTATTGTGTTGGCAATGCATACATAAATTGGAAAATCAAAGTATACACATTGCTGAGACTTTCAAGCAGAGACTTTCACAAAATACCATAGACTTTAATGAAGAGGTTTCTGTCAGGATTAAAAATTAAGCAAGGAGTTGTTTAGCATAACATTGGCTTGTAATGCAGTCCAGTTACTTCAAAAATACAGCTCGGAGCACCAGTCCCAGGATTAGTAAATCTTTAACTTGTATAAAATAAATTATTTACAATTCCTGCAATAATATAAATAGTTTAACAAGTAGAAATAGCCTTGTGCTTATCTCCTTTTTGTACATCTTAAATTTTGAAATTTCTCTGCATCTTTAAATTTTGAAATTGATGACAATCTTTAATTGTAATTATAGATATTTTTGCCTTAATTGTGTGACTTACTTGTTAGTAGTAGCATTTTACTACTTGATATGAGTTTTCACATCCTCCTCCTATTTCTTCCCCCGGTCAAAAAACAAATAAACAAAATCTCTGACAATGATAGAGAATACGTGATGAAAGTATATGGTATGTAAGGCTCCTTTGCTCAGTATATTCTTAGATACCATGGGAAGAACCTTTGTCCATGCTAGACACCATAATTACTAACCATGTTAATGCCTGTACACTCCTGTAGACCTCTCATCTGTAGACTTCTTATCCTATAAACCAGAGGAAACCTCCCTTCTTCGCCAAGTGTTTTCAATAACAACTCATTGATGTTCTCATATAATGGAGACTCTGTGGACCTCATAGAAAATGAACAGTACACATAATGCTTTTGCCTATCCATGATGCAAGAAAAGTATATCTAAGGTCATATTCACTTGCTGTGTATGTGCCACAATAGAACATATGGAAAGTGAGCTTGTAGAGAAATCATAAACAAAAAAAAAGGTTTTACCTCCCAGAAGCATAAAAAGCTTCTAGGAGCTTTCAGTGGAAGAAATATATATATGAAGAATTAAATATATATATATATTTTTTTTAATTTTCAATTGCAATTGTAGTTATGGATTTTTTTTGCTTTAAACTTGGTAGAGATAATATTTAAGCTCAGCCACAGTGTTCCATTTTTATCTGAAGAAAACTGTAGAGCAAAAATGCAGCTGAAGAGCGAATGTTGGATATTAATGCCAGGACTTTAGAGACCTGTTTACATGTGGGATGCCATCTTAGTCACAGGAACTTGACTAGAACTTTGTTGTCCTAGGTTTCACTGGAAAAAAATTTTAAAAATAAATGAAAAAAAAAAAAACAGTAACAGCACAAGCAAAGAATTAACAAAAAACCCTTAGAAACAGGAAAGTCTGGCAGCTAAATGCTGTAAGAAGTTACCTCCTGCACTTGATTTTCTTCACTGTGCTTTTCACTCTGTGACTGTTTCATACCTCCTGGATCTAAAGTGGACCATTGATGTTTAATACCAATGGCCTAGATTTGTCTCATGAAATGTCATTTGTCATGCTCCTCAAGAGGATGATTCATCCCACCTATCTAAGGCACCAATCTTAGGGTAGTTTGAATTGCTGCTGGGTAGGGATTTGCAGGACCAAATACGGATGTCTTTAGAAAAGGCCTGATTTAGCTGACCCCCTTTACATCAACGGTGAGGAAGAATTACTTATAATGCATGGCTTGTCTTACAGGAGACATCTAACAGAGGCTAAGTGTCTGCACCTCTCTGGAGATGACTCTTCTCCCCTTTTCTCTGTGAGGTCCAAATGATAGCAATTACATTGCAAACATTGCTAAGGAAAGTGAATTTTGTGCGTGGCACCTACCCCTTCACAAGAGAAATAGGAGCCCTCAGCAGGGGTGATGGAAATCATCTGGCTGGCTGTAACAAGACTGTGCAGTTTTGCTTTCTCCAGTTTATTCTTCCTGCAGATGGACTGAAAGGAAGAGAAGGAAACAAATGCACAGTCCACAGATGCATGTCAAACAAGCTCTTCAATTTGAGTTCAAATTTGGCCTAAGTTCATCTTGGGCACACTGTCTGAAGGACTCTTATGTGCTAATTTGCTTTGGAAGAGTTGCTCATGTCACTCTGATTAATGCTAGTTGCTTTCCTTCTCTATATCCTCCATGGAAGTCTAATTTCAATGCAGTGTCATCGCAAAAACAAGCAACAGTGCAGTGACCCACTTGTGTAGGTTAACAGCAATAAAGATGGTTTTCATTAAAAAAAAAAAAAAAAAAAATCCGATCCTGACTTTCAGGGATACTGAGAGGGGCACTTTGAAGGCTGGAATGTTGTAAATCTGTGGCATCTGCAGAGAGATCTTACTGCCCAGGGTCCACCAGGAAATGTCAAGCTTCAGTTGTTACACAGATAATTAGTTGGTACTTTAAAATATGATTTGAGTTTCAAAATCACCTCCTCTGATTAAGTTTCTTGCTGTGCTGGCCTCTTAAAGGACTTGATACTTATTGACACTGTGATAACCACTGTGATAAAGAAAGTTGTCTTCTCATCTGAACAGAGGGATGTACCCTAAAATCCAGACTTACACTGTTGTTAAATCATCTCAAAACCGTGGTGTGGAGCCAGTCAGCAGAGTGCCACAGTGTGTTAGGCGTGAATACCAGTGTCTCCATCAACAAAAGTCCAGGATACTGAGAAGCTGTCTTGGAGTGACATTAGCTGGAGTACCTCAATGCAAATACAACGTCCTCAGGTGGCTGCTTAATCCCTTGGGAAGAGATGGGTCTAGATATTTGTTAGACATAGTCGGGACTGAGATGTAATGACAATATTGTGCTAAGTCTAAGGTACAGTGTAAACAATCAGCTTGAAGTCATTTATTGCTTTGTTGCGCCTGTCAAGATTGTGGCTGAGCATGCTTCTTGTTCAGATAATTAGCACTTGGAAATTTTATTTGGGGGATTATGAAGCTATTCTTTCTTCTGGCAGTTTCTGCCTGTGAAAGTGATGGCAGCTGAATAAAAAGCTGCAATAAGAACTTGGAGCTCTGTAAAGCTTCCAAGCAAAAGTCATTACCAAAGTGACTGTGTAATTACACAACTAAGTCTTAATCCCCCAAAGGAATATTTGCTGCCATCCAGAATCACCAAGATTCTATGCCATCATCCTCAGTTAGCAGAAATG